CGATAGAGGAGGCGAGGGTTAGTCATAATGGAGTGGACAATGGTTTCAGTGAAGTGTTGCATCATTCATGACTTACAGCACGGAGCTCTGTGTGAGACTGTATCGACAGCAGCAGTGAAGTAATGACAAGCGCTGAAGATTCAAGACCCACTGAAGTAGCTGCTTGAGTTGGAAGTGAACTTGATAGTGAATGACTGCTGGTATAAGATGATCAAAACAATAGTGAAATGACAAATTTTCCAACTTTATGGAATGACATTGTTTTTTGCAATCTGATGGCCTTGTAACTTATGTTGGTCTCTCTACTTCAGAACATTAGACCCTCTGATCATGAATATTTTTTTTAATCCAAATTTGTGCGCATTTTGACTGCCTTAAAACAACATTGGCCAATAGGACAAACAAAATGATGTTCTTTTAAAAAGTTACAAGAAAGAAATATCTCCCTTGGAATGTGAAAAAAATGCAAAAGTTCTTGAAATGAGACTTAATTGCGTTGTCCCTTCGGCAAATCTTGTTTTAACAAGATTAATCTTTAATCTTTGTTCCAACAGAGAGAGCCTTGTTTAAATAACATTTTGTGAACCAATCAGAAGACAACGCTTCAGTAGCTTCCACCACCAGGGTCTAGACCTGCAAAATTTGAATTTACAATTTACATTTACAAAAAATACAGTTGTACCTTATGCGTCAGCATCCTTTATTGCAAAATTGTACAGCTACAAAATATTCATGCTCAATATATGCATGTTATTTCTAGTGCATCTTTGTCTTGAGTCTTTCCAGATTTAATTAATCCTTTTGGATAACATATTTTTTAAGTACCGAGCCCTAACGATCCCTGTGAGTCACTGCTTAATGCTTTGGGCAGAGAGCTCAATGTCTGAGTCTTTTCTGTCTGAAAACATGAAGAGGCAAAACATGAATGAGTTTAGTTTATTTTAGTGTGATGCACAAGTGTGCCTCATGGGTACTGCTGCAGACCATCTACTACACATACATGAAGAAACAATATGGTTTAGTAATAGAACCAAACAGTTCTGAGAGCGAGGAGCTAGTTCAATGTTCTATGTTTGAAAGAGTTGTAGGAAGGTGTAGGGTCAAATTTTTTGGGCCTGTGTCTTGTGTATAATAATGAAATACATTTAGGTTCCACAGCTTTAAGTCTGATTTGAGTCATCATAACTTGCAAAAAAACTGAACACTAATACATATATTAACAAATAAAACTTACCCATGAATGAATCCAATCATACATCCCCTTCTGTATTGCCCATCTCACCTTACTAAAAAAATCACCACTCAATTTCTTCCAACCAAAGCCCAATCTCCCCCTCTGTCCGTCCCTCCTCCTAGACTGAATGACGGGCCGTGTGTGGGAGACAGATCACATGTCGGAGCGCTCTGAATGAAACCTTCTCTGTAATGGCTTTGCTCGACGGCGTGGGCCAGCGATAAGCCCGTCCCGAGGAGTTCCCAACCGCCTGATCCCGAAGCCGACAAGAGGAATGCTCACTCAGCCTTTAGAGCCGATAACAACATCATCTTTGCCACCGAATGGGCCCCACGGAACATTAAGGAGTCAATGGCCGACGCTACAATGCCGAGGAACAGATGTTTGTAATGGCTTCAAACAAAATTAAGTGTTGCTTGAGTTTGTGAGGTGAAAACATGATTAAAAATGGTCAATGTTGTGGAGGGGAGAAGAGCATAGTATGAGGGAGAAAGCTGGTCAAGTATTTCAACCCAGGCTGCACCCTCTCCCCGCCTCAGTCCTGCACCGCGTGGCCTTGGTCCTCGTTCTACAGCCTGAGTCTTGAATCTATAGCCGGTTGACAGATGCAAAAGTATTGGACATGCATTCGTTGAATCTTGTTGAATACTTTTTAAACTTTCTTATTCGTATTATTTTATTTTCACCATAGTCCCTTTACAGGTCCAAAGGTAAAAATCAATAAATAAATAAATGCATTAAACATAATACAATAAACAAAACCAAGAACCAGTAATCAATAAATTACAGTAAAGCACTTTTTTTCAAATGACCTTGAATAAAATGTAACTGCATTGGCTCGATGGAGGTAAGGCACAAAGGTTTAATGAGAGTAATTGTTCTTGTACAGAGAAAAGAATAAGTCTGTGAATGGCTGAATGTACGACTCCCCTAAGATCAGAGAAAGAACATGTCCGTCCTCATCCTCTTGACTCTTGACATCAGCCTTTCTTATATAGTTACTTAAAAAACTGGAAAACTACACATTGTGACCATAATAATGCAAAAGGCTTCTAAGGGGACATAATAGTGACAGGAAGAAGTCACAATTATTCAAATGTGTGTGACTGTGTTTTCATGAAAAAGATGAAAAACGCTAAAGCCAGGTTGGAAATACCGCCGGGAAGATCTGCTTCTGCTTCATCCAACCCCTCTTCAAACTTGTGATACTGAGAAGATATGGGAAATTGTGTTCTGCGGGTTTGAAATAAATGAAGCTAACTATCATGCATCTCATTCTAATCAAATACATTTAAAGTATTCAGAAAACAGTACTTGGACAGAATTCTATAACTCTATACATTTGCAAACTATTCTCCCCAACCCTGTGATTTAAGACCATCTGCTGTTGACAAGGCATCAATATAATTACAAAAGCGTTACATTTTTTAAAAATAAACATAGACATAAAAATGTGGCCTTGGATCCTGGCTTCATTTTCTGACAGAGAGAAAAAAAAACCATGACGTCTAAGGAATAATACAACACTGAAGAACTCTGATCCTGAATTGTGAAAAGAACCCAATTTATCATAATTTTGTCTTGGCTGTGTGTGTGTGTGTGTTTGTGGGTTTGTGATATATGTTTGTGCATTGTGATAAAAGTAATTAAAACTGACAGCTTCTTGATATAGAATTGTCATGTTGTTGTCGTCCTCGACCCATAAGTTTGTTTGCACACACACAAGCACACATACAGTACACACACTGCTTGTAAGTCAATGGGCTATAGACAGACAAGGAGTCCTTAGGTGAAGAGCTCTTGTCATACAAAGCTTGCAAAGCCAATTGAAATTCAACTCTGTTCATTCTGTCACTGTGCCCTTAAGCACGACACAGCACCGGCGCATTGTGAACATGTCGTGGGATCCAGCAAATGAATAATATTTCCACACAGAAGTCCTTTGGGGGCTGAATCTTCGCAAAACAGAGTTCTCCTGCAATAAATGGTGCACTCCTACGCCGCTCCAACATGGCGGCCGTATTTAGCATGTATCTCGGTATAGCGCGCCTGTCTAATTCTTCTGCCCTCCGGCGTCGGCAGAAGGTGATGGAAAAACGAATCAAAACCGTGCAATCGCTGTAACGTTTGAGAAACTGGGTCACAGCCCAAATGTGATGTTCGTGCACCCTCCCCCCTTCCGCTGTACGTGCTTCCCCCCCAAAAAAGAAGAATCTTGTGTCTGAGAGGGAAGACTTCTTATAGGTGACAGACTATCAAACAGAATATGAAATAGACTTTTGAAATATTAACTCTATTCTACTGTAAGCCGTCTTGCTGCAAGCCTCCGGTCTTTCTGTTAGTTTTTCATTGGAGCCTTGAAGGGCATATGAAAGACATCACATAATTTACTGTGATTGCATTAGATTCATTATGTTTATCAATTAATCAATCAATATTTGTTTATAGAGCGCCGTTCCTACACAGAGCGCTTCACAGTCCACATCACACAAGGCACAAATCATCAAATAAAACACCTTTAAAAACAATTACAATCACACACGTGATTAAAACCATTAAAACATTAAAATCACACAAGAGATTAAGATATAATTAACAACAATGCATAAAAAGAGTAGAGATAAATCCTGAAGTTGTATACACAGGCAAACAGAATCATCTTAAACCTGGATTTGAACATTTTCAGAGAAGAAAACTGTCTCACATTTTCAGGAAGACTGTTTTAGCTTTAGATTTTAGCTGCATGAATCTGAAACACTGTCCCATGTTTAGCTCTGACTGGGTTTAAGCTTTGAAAGACACAGCGCAAATAAATAGTTTAAACGTCTTGAAAATCATAAGAGCCTTTCAACGCTGTCCAATTAAAGGGCACCTAACTTTTTTTACTTTTATAAATACATGTTGTTTGTCGCCACAGGAAGGACTTAAGAAACATGTTTTGAACAAATTGGGTGTGAAATAGAGTAAATAAATAAAATAAAAAATGTAACAGTTATAGTTTTAGAAGTATACGCTGAGATTTGTCTAACTATTTTCATAGATTACATTAATATTGTAAAATAAATATTCAAGTAATTTAAAATATATTGACAGCATTCAAATAGTTTCAACAAAGTAGCTTCTTATATTCCAGCAAGTTGTTGTAGTTGTTGAATACTTCCAGCTTGATAGAGGTAGAACATTTACCTATACTACTCATAAAAATATATCGTGAAAGTAACATAATTGAAGCTTTTTCTGTTAACAAGTTACAGCATGTATGAAAATCCAAAGTAAACTTTTTGGCTAAAATTTGTTTGACCCCACGTATGATGCTTTTTTTTATTATTATTTTTTTTAGATATAAAGCCTTGATGCTCCTGGTCACATGTGCAGGACTTTTTAAATTAGGCACATTTTAATAAAGAAAGCAGATGGCAATTGTCTGAACTGTTAACAACATGGTAAATCCAATGTATTTTGACAATAAACGTGCCTTTCACAATTCTATGGAGCCAAAATAAGAAGTTCACAAACAAACAATAGCCCTAATTACGTAAAAACAAGATCAATGTTTAAAAGATTTGTATAATAGTATTGATTAATTGTGCGTTGGACGTCAGATACCCCAGCTTTGATAGCAAAACATTGAATAAAGCAAGTTTAATCTTATATTTTCAAAACATAATTCCAGCTCACAAATGTAACCAAATTGTGCAAAAATCTATCAACAACTTCTTTCACCAACGCTCTTAAAATCACCTGGCATTTCCTCACGTGCCCCTGTATGTCTCAGCCCGTGCGTAATGTGCGCACGTTCATGTCTGCGCCTCCTAAACGCCAGTGTCAAGCGGTGCACGGTGTCAGAGCGAAGAGCGCGCCCCCCACACGCGCTCCTTGCCTCCGCTTAGACCCCTGCGCGTATACAGGACACAGACTGTACACAGACTCGTGCGTAAAATCCACCGGACCTCTGCGCTCGCCCCACGGTGCCAAAGAAAAGAGGACTCTCAATTTATCCATCACCTCTGCTTTTACGCGCGTAATTAAGGGACATATTCCACATTATACGTTGTCGCTCTTTCGCTTGTTGTTTCGGCTGGATAGGAGGACGCACAAGATGTCCAAAGAAGAGGCGACGCGCGCGTAAGTCTCTCCCAAGCGGTTGTTTTTACCCCCCTATCCCCCAATATCAAAGCACTTATCTGAAGACGATGTGATAATATTGTGTGTGTATGTGTGTGTGTGAAAGTTAAGCGATTTTTGTGGGTTTGTCGTTGCACTTGTCCCCAAGTGGCACATAGGGAGCTGTGAGAGGTGTTTGGAGAGGGGCCACTCAGCGCGAATGGGTATTTGTTCAAAACAGCGCTGGAGGAGGCATCGCTGTGCTGGGATGGATGGGGTTGTGCCATGATTGAACAGTGCTGCAATGTTTCCACCTGCTGAGGACTTGTTGAGGACCACTGCAAATAAGTGCACGGGAATGGTCAGTAAGTTTTGGGAAGCAGGTGCAAAGGCATGTCAGTTAAGATTCATGGACAGTGGTCGTCCCGGTCCCTGTGTATGCAGACCAATGGCTTCTACAGTATGTGTTTGTATTCTGTGTTTCAACAGTTTGATTCTCTGATTTGTTGCTGGTGAATCAATAACTTTGTAAAGTTATCCTATAGGTTGCTGTTGAGATTCAGGGCTATTCAAAATTGAATTGAATTGAGAGATTTGGAGAATATGGTACTATGCAGATGAAAAAAAAAAGGATGATGATTGTTTATAATGTCCTTGAAAATATCCATAAATATCTTACACACTTTCTCATTTTTAACAATACATTTGATGAATATAACACCATTCTGTAGCATAGAAAAATATTATGAACCGAACATTGTCATGCAGTAAAAAAGGGTGATCACTGACCTAGAAATGTGAAGTGTCAACGTCTCAAGATTTTACATTTTGTCTCAAGGTTTGTTGTTCTTTAGAGCAAGACGCTTCAGTCTGGCTATGCTTTTAAATGAGTGGGGGCTGAATGAATAAATAATTTGTGTAAAGTAAGTAATTAATGTAATATGATGTTTATTTATATAGCGCATTTTACAGACCAAGGTCACCCAAAGCACTTTGCAATGTTCAGAGTTCAGACATTGTTCCAATCGTTCCACACACAGTGATGGCGGTGACGATATCTGATTAAGTGTATTTAATCTGTTTATTTTGCTCTGTGTTTTCTGTGACTCTAACTCAATCTTGTTGGCGTGACTACGAGCTGAATGGTCACACATCCAGACTTTGTTTCATCACTGTAAAGCATCTTTGTGGCTGCACTGAATGGGATTTTGTAGAACACACATTTTGGCTGTAATTTGAGTCATATACCGAATTTACAAAGTTGATATCATTTAAAAAACACAGTATTTTTGTTTGCAGTCTGCCACTCGCTCGTCTCAGGGAGAAGGAAAAGGTGCCTCGGTACGGCATTGAATAAATGATAGTTAATGAATATAGGCAGAAGCTAGAAAAGCCCTCGTAGAGCACAAACCTCTGCCATTCCTTAAAAAACAAACTAACAAACCCCAGTGGAAGTGACTGCAAAAACATACTGTGCTTAATCATCATCAGTCAGAATGTGTAATTTAAAACCATGTGTCAGTTGTCACCTTACATTGTCACTTTGTCCCATGTACAGATGTATACATACAACTATACTTATTGCACTAGAATATACAGTTTTATACTTGCTCTTTGATATGATATGATTCATTCATTTTCAAGCCCTTTATTGTCCATTTCTGGGTCAGGGGGGTGGCAATGAGAGCTGCCACCCAATGCTCATAGCACCAGTCCCTCGCTGATCCTCTGCAGGGGGTGAGTCCACAGGAAGATGGCTGCTCTGTCAGTGGTGAAACAGCCTTGGTCTTTCAGCGGGGGCTTCAGGCAACGTGGGGTTAAGTGTCTTGCCCAAGGACACAACGACAGTAGACATCAGTGGGAGCAGTTGGAGTAGGTCCCATGGTGGGAATTGAACTCATGACCTCCAGGCTCAAAGGCCAATGCTCTACCAACTGAGCTACTGTCGCCCCACTGATATGATATGATATGATTGGCTAAACTCAGAGATGTTATACTTCTTACTACTTTATTACGCTAAAGGTAAAGATGTTTTACCTGTTTCTTTATTAAGTTAGAGATGCATTATTTTAGTATAAAGTTGTAGTTCACTTATATTTTACTCTGTGCGCCTCATACTTACTGTTCTGTAACTGGTGATGCAACACTGACATTTCCCCACCTTGGTCGTAGTCGTAAACTTCTTGGAGAATTTTGCCACGAATGAAGACAAAATACAAAACAAGCTCACACGTTTTTCCTTTTTGTTTTAGTGACTTTTGCGAAATCAACCTTTCTTATGTTTAAATCAGGGGAAAATGTTGATAGTGAGAAAACCACTCAGACCTCAACCTCAAGGATTCTTTAAAAAACACAAAATATGCATCCAGACAATGATTCAGATTACCTCCTAAATGTAATCAAACAAACAGTAGTGATCACTTTACCTCCTGGGCAGAAGTGTGCATTAATACAAACGTAAAGCGGTCTCATGGTTAAACAAGGTATGATTTTTACACAATTTGACCTTTTCTGAGACGTTTTCCATGTCTCTGCTGCACTTGGTCTCGCTGTGACTGAATGGTTGGATTAAGCTGAATACATTCGTCCCTCAGGGGATACATTTCAGTAAATACATGCAAAAAGTTGTCTTCTTACGTTTTTGCAGTTACATTTTCGTCCCTGTTTTGGCGGGCTTGGTTTTTTTTAATCTTCTCCAAACGATGGACAGTTTTGAGACACTGTGTTCCGAATCTTCTGCGTATCAAAAAGATCATTTTATCTACTTATTTTAAGCTTTATATCTCAGTGTTGCATCAAGTTACAGAATAGTAGATGAATTAATATTGATTATGAAACAGTATTTACATTCTACTAGCTATAGGCACTCCTTATACAATGGTGTCAACAACATTTCTGCAGCAAGGCCAACTCAAGCAAACACAGTAACAATAGCAAACAACTCACGATGCTTCTTGTGTTCTTTCTTTGCCTTGAATGTCCCACATGTTTTTATTATGCCGGTTTTTATTGTTTTCATTGTTCTAATTACCTTCAGAAACGCGAAGAGCAATTGCATTTCCAATCATGGCGTAAATGCTATGAGTATAAACAAGTAAACATTCTGTATTTCATTTTGATTATATGACGTGTATCTACAATATAAAGTACTTTTCATAATAATATATTTATTATGAAAAGTACTGTGCAAACAACTGAAGTATTCTATCTCTACTCTTTTTGATCCATTGTTGTTATTTATTAACTTAATCCCTTGTGTGATTTTAATGTTGTAGAGGTTTTTTAATTTCCTGTGCGATTTCAATTGAGATTTTAATGGTGATTTTGGTGTTTGCTTTATGTGATGATTTGTGCCTTGTGTGATGTGGACTGTGAAGCGCTTTGTGATTGATTGATTGATTGATAAACAAAAATCCCTAATAATTATCACCGGTAAGGTTTTCTGGAAGAGAATAGAGGCCTCAGCTTTCTTATCAGAATCAGAATCAGAATCAGAATCATTTTTATTGCCACGTAAGTAACAGGAGGTCACAGACTTGGAAATTGCTTTGGCTCAGTGCAACAGTCAAAAAGAGATAATAAAAATAAGAATAAAAAACACTTCTAAAGAATAAATTTAAATTTAAAATAGAGTTACAGTTACTATTTACAATATACAAGTGCACATGGTGCACACAATGTAAGGTGACAGCAGTACAGTGAAGTAAAGTCACTGTAGTTATCAAAGTTATCAAGGATTTGAATTCAATGCGCCCAAACAGGAAGTTGGTTTCTGATTGGACGAGCAAAATTCACGTCTCTCTGTCCTAACAATTTGAAATATACTTGACCTTGACTTTAAAGAGTGCAGCCCCTTTTTCTAAACATGTTACTACCAATGAATATATGCATTTAAACACACATACTAGTTTCATGGGAAATGGCCTTTGCTTATTTTTTTTATTTTAGAATCAAACCTAGTTCATCTGCTACTGTGCCTTTTCATCAGAGAGGCCTGTGAGAAGCACCCACCAGACTGTTAACAGGGATGAGGGGGCATACCAGCTGTCTCACACCTGGGATGCAGTGCAGAGAATGAGCTGCAGATGGTGCTGTTGTCCAGCTGCTTCTCATACAGAAAGACTGCATCAAAATCTGTTGAAATTGGCTGCAACTTCTTGAGTGTAGCCGAAACTGGAAGTGTGACCAAAACCAAAATCAGTCCAGGGATCAAACCAATTGGATTATTAAACAAACGCGTTATGAATGAAGCTATGAATATTCACTTATATTTGAACGTACTCACTTGTTATTATTTAAAATGCATTTATTTGGATTCCTGTATGATTGATGGGTCTTGTTGGGCTCCATTCTACATTACAAAAATTCACAGATACAGTCACTAACAATATAACCAGAGATTGTAGCAACAATGCATTATTTCTGAGTGGACGTACAACTCTTTTTATTAGACCTTTACTGAGAATTTCTATAACTAAGAAAGTCCTAAATATCACAGCGTTTGTTAAAGTTTATTGAAATTTCAGCAAAATTAAGGAAAATACAGTCATAACATTATTATTTGAGTGATATAGGGGTCGATTATATTTCCACACTTTGTATCAGTTATTTTATAGTAGTAGTTGAGTAGTAGCAGTATTTAAAATTATAAGTAGTAATAATAGTATAGTAAAGGTACATTATTATTATCATTATTAATCTTTATTTCAGACTCAAATTAAACTGGATTTTTATTTTCATTTTATTTTATCTTTTTATTGTTCTTTTTATATTCATACATATTTGCACACGTGGTTTTTTTTATTTGATTTTGTATTTGACTGTTTTACTGTTTTTGATTTTATTGTGCAGCACTTTGGAAACTGTGTTTATGAAATGTGCTATATAAATAAAGTGGATTGGATTGGATTGATTTAATCAAATGGGTGTGATTGGCAGGTGTATTGGCCAATTAAAACAATCTTTCACCCCCCCACATATGAATATATATAGAACTAATTTATTTGTTCACCAAAAGTGAACAGC